TATGTACAATAAAATATATTTATTTATACATATTTAAATGTTTAAAATTGCATAAGTATATACATACCATGTATTCAGGCCACAATTTTCCACTTGTCACGTTTTGCATTATTGTTTTTTGGCAATAGCGTAGGAGTGATATACAATAGTATATTATATAATCAGGTGAATGTAGTATACAAATAGCAAAAAAATGCAAAATTTGATGCCAAGGCAGTATACCCCAAAAACACTGAGATATCATTAAGTTGCACATCAATGACCAACTTATTCCAGAAGTATTCTACATTAGAAAATAAATTGATTAATAAAATTACTGAAATTCTGAAATTCTGTGAAATATTACCTTGAGTGCAAACTGAACGTGTGGTAATTCATTACTAATGATAGATTCTAGAAGTTGCATAAACGTAAATTGAGTGGTACATTCTCCCTGAATGTTTTTATCTACGATTTTTCCCAAATTTGGCCACAAAAAAATAATTACTGGGAACTTCATTAATTGTTGTATAAATATTTTACATCTGAAATCGATTATAACATATAGACATATTATCTTAGATAGCTTAAAAGGTCGATGATGATTTACACTGTTCTTACGCGCAATGCCATTATGGTGGTGACTAAGTTTTCAATCTGAGACCTGCCAATGATGACATATGACCAGCTAGAGTTTCCCTACTTTTTAAATGAGATTAGCAATTTCAAAATCGCTCCTTTGAAATATGTTTATGACTGTTCACAAACAGATTTTGAATGAGCTATTGAATTTTGCTAATGAGGGGTATATTCGCGGTCAGCTGAGGCATTCATTTAAAACATATTTCAATCTTCTTCTACTACTTATTTTGCGTGCAGAAAATAATTTTCATAGAATAGATTTGTGAATGTAGTATTTGCCTTGTGTGGGAAAACTATAAAATCATTAATTCTTCAAATAAAACTAAACTTTAAAAATGAAATAAATTTAGGCATACACGACATTATTTTGTATACAAATAATTTTTAGGAATTTGTTACAGATTATCATTTATCATTGAATGTTTTAAGAAGTTATAAGCATTAACTGTTTTACAATTGCACTATAATATTCACAAGAATATATAAGCAAATTGAATAAAAATGTTCAGATGTGTAAAATTATTGATACATACCTTCCTATGTCACCTTCACAAATAATAAACACTGTTGCTAAAAACCAGTCAAATCCATCAAATTTTTTTGGTCTTTCATAATGTATAAATGCGTAACACTCGTTAATAAATTCTTGTAGTTTCTTTTTCATTTCAACAGTATTTTTTAAAATGTTGTTTTGTTCGGCGTAATGTAGAGCTAAGTTAATTCCATGTACCTCCTCTGCAAACCAAAAATCCGTATTTATTGAAAAACTCCCTTCCCATTGGAAATTTTCTACCCATTCTGCAGTAGGAATTGCTTTCTGCATCTGATCTAATAATTGTATTAATGTAGTGTTCTACAAGAGAATTGAATGTATTTAGTTCTAATTGATTTGACGAAATTATGAATATTAATTTTGAATTAAATCTTCACCTTTATTAAATCAGATGATTGCATATAGGCTGCTCTAACTTCTCCAATCCAGTCGCTGTCTAATAATCCACGTTTATTTTCTTTAAGAAAATAATCTAATTCTGTGCTATCATCATATTCTGAAGAATGCACCTGTATGTTCAACTTTGGAGTTGGTAATATTGACACATCATAATCCTCCAATTTACTTTGTTCTTCCTCATCCTCAAGTTCAATAAAATTTGCTTTAGATATAATTTTATGTCGTATTAAAGTATATTCATCAATAACTTCTTCTTTTGTATCCTCATTTTCACGTTCTTGTGAATTGGAGTTTTGAAGCTTTAACAAAATATTCTAAAAACATTCATGTTATCAAAGAGTGCAAAGGAAGTAAAATCTCTTTGTCTTTTAAAATATAATTTAGTAATACCTGGAAGTTTAATAACTCTATTAAATATATGCGAATATTTAAATTCCAAATTACAGTCATTAATGACAAAAGTCCTAGATAATGATAATTAGAATCCGGATTTATTGCATTTTGAAAGAGTTCAAACAAGTTAAGTGGATAATTCTGTTCTTCATTGTTGCATAGGTCCTTTACATTGGTCATAAGGGCTGAGAAACCTATATATTTATAATTATAATATTTGAATACTAATTTAATGAATGCTTATCATTATTCTATCATTATTCTTACATTTATAATTAAGAGAAAAGAATGCCAGTACATGTAAAAAAGAACGGATGCTTTCATGATCCCATGGATCAGGAAAATAATGTATATCTTCTAATATTTTACATGTTTCTGAAAGCAAAGTCGACAAACTATGAGGTGCAAGATTTGTAAGTGTATTATATCCCAAATGAAAAAATGCAGCAAGTGACACAAAATTAACCACTTCCATTGATGTCCATGACATTCTCAATGGCGCAATACATCCTGCAATTAGTTCATGAAACACTGATGATTCTTGAACAAGTGCTTTCAATCCAAATGGTACAGATACCATTTTAAGTAATAATGATATAACGGCGCTAAAAATGAAATCCTTTTTATACAATTGTATTTCTTTAACAAGTAAAACCTAAAAGAAATAGGAATTACCTATTTATCTGTTGAACTTTATTTTCATTTTCAAAATAGGATTTATCTAGCTTACTGTAAAAATGTGATACAGCAGGATAAAAGTTCTTTTCTATTTTATATTGTACAATTTCATATGTATCAAATATATCAAATAACTTTTCTAGTACTTTAAATAATTTGAGGAGATATTCAGTATTCATTATAGAAAAGGGTTGTTTCAACATATTGGATGCTATTACTGTAATGTACATAGCAGGACACTTTGAAACATTACTTTCAAAGTTCACTGTATGCTCTTTGCATTCAGAGATAAGAAATTGTGAACCATCTGGTGTATCTAACATGTGTAAGATAATATTTAATGTATGTGGCCATATTTTTATATTATTTTCAGATAAAGAAGGCAAATGGCATAGCGCGATATGATAAAATTCAGAATTACATAAAATTTTTGGCTTGTCTAAAATAATTTGTAAAGCATAACAAGAGATATCATACACGCCATGTAAAGTATCTGTAGACAATTTATTTAAAGCTTTTAGAGAAGCAGTTAGAAAGTCTGAAATTCCGAATGGCGTTCCAAAAATAGTTTCACCTAACAGTTTTCTGCCTGCCTCATATGCACAAAGTTGTGATACAAAGCATAAGCAATGAAGATAAGTTACTGTTTCTATTGTATTTCCATTAATAATTGCTTCCATTGGTTCATCACAAATCGAAATTGATACAAAATGAGGAGGATCTTCTAATCCTTTTCTCATATTATTCATTATATTTTGTAATATGCTAGGTGATTTGCCTAATGCGATTAAAAAGAGTCTTCTAGTAGCAAGACTAACAATCCATTTTTTGCTCCAATTAGCACATGGATCCAATATAGAAATAATATTCAATATATTTAATGTTTTAGATTGTACTGCATTACCAAATTCATGCGTGCTAAAAAATGTCATAAACTGCTCTATTAATTCTTCTGTAGATTTATCAGGATTTCTCACACATTTCAATCTTTCTTCGTGATATTGAAGTATCAAATGTATAATTCGAAATACTTTTTCGTGTAGGAAAAATTTAAAATTAATTCCAGTAAGCAGAGTAGGCAATATTTCAAATGTTTTTTGAGAATGATATTGAGCAGTAAATGCATCTAGTAAATTTATGTACACATCATGTGACTGCAAACATGTCAGCAACTTTGCATGAACTTGTAAACTGGCTTCGAAAATTGGTCTATTTTCATCTGTGAGACTATCTAACAGAGCCTTTTTAAGTGAATCCCACACTGCATTGTTATTTACATTTGACAAGTCATGTTTTAGTAAGACTTCGTAGGCAGCTAATCTAACGTGTGTAGGTTTATCGTTACTGATCTTATCAACAATAACATTATAGTATTCATCATTATTTAGTGGAGAATTCCAATCTTCGCTTGTTTGATCACTGAGGCAAGAAAGAGATGACTGTGGCCGAGATTCAGAAAATAATGTTGATGATGACCTTGAAGCAGATTGTTCAACAAGTGTAGCTCTCATTGAACTTATCAAAGCAGACATTTCTTTTGAATGTATGATTTCTTGAATAATGTCAGTATATTCTATATTTTCTTCTAATCCGTTTTGTATCTTTGTTTCAAACTCTTTTTTTAGGCACTTTTTCATCCATTTTTGGGTATTTGGAGAAATATTATGTTCCATACTCAAAAAATTATTAAGATATATTTACAAAACCGTAACGACGAAAGCAGTAGTAAGAGTAACAATAGCAACTGTGAGTATTTGTGTAATGAATTCTTATGTTTTGATTTAGTTTCTATGACTACCAGTTGGGATGGATACGGGTACTATAAAGTATACTTAATGTGATATAACAATGTTCCAATTTCTTTATGATTATAAAGTACGTTTCATACTTACAATATTTATTTACAATATATGAGAAAAAATAATTCTTCCAAAATGAAATTAATATTTTGCTTATGTACAAATTATAGACATCTTATAAGATGCTTCATACAATCACAATAAATTTAATGTGTCATGCGAAATTTGTTCATAATAATATATTCTTTAACGTGCACCTACTATAATATTTGGAGATTTTGATCGCAAAGCATAAATTCCTCCTTGCAAGGAACATACACCCATAACTCCACACTTTACAAGAAAATCTGCAAACTACACAAAATTTGTTAATTAGAATACTTAATTACTTAATATATAATATCATTATCAGGTATGTATACCAAAGCATTATTTTGATCATGAGGCCCAATTATTACAACAATACTGTTTTTATTTTCTGCAATTGGTTTAGCCTGTGGTCCTAAAGTCTCAATTTGAGTTTGAGACAGTTGTACACTTGTAAATGGAATGTTAATACTTCCTGCTGCGGCACCTCGTTCAAACCTATGAAAATAGATCAATGAGTATGTGCAAAAGCGTTTATCAACCGAGTTCTCTTCTTTTATAAAAATATGATACTTACTGTATATTATTACGTATATCAACAATTATTAATCTCTCAGGATTATTGTCTAACAAATTTAAGAAGTCATCAACACAAATCCTTGGCATTCTTTCAGTGCCTGGTTCGAGCTCTGACCAATTCACATCCTATGAGGAGGCAATACAAGGTTTTTAAATTTTGAATATTATGTAATATAATACATGTTTTATCATATAGATAAGTGAATTTTATACCTTTGGTTGATTAAACTGATGTTTTCTGTAAGTAATGCTAGCTGGCGTGTTTTGATACATTGTCATAGAATCTTTAACACATAATTCTATGTCTATTTCAGGAAGATCAGAAAATAACAGAATGCATTCGTTAAAACCCGAAGTTAAAAGAGAGTCACGTAACTGTTTCAATATTGCTAGACCAACTAGAAGTGGAAATGAAGAATCCCCTAGTAAAAGTTTGTCCCATAAATGTAGTATTTTGTGAAGCGGAAATACATCTATAAGAAAAATATTTTAATCAATATGTTAATAGAAAAATATTTCAACAACAGTTACAATATATAACTTACGTGAAAACATTGTTAAAAACCATGGTATAGCAAATAATTCTGGTACAAAGTTAATTGATCTGAGATGATTAGCCAATTGTGGGTCATGAAAAGCTATAATTTGCGAAAATTTTCCTAAATATTCTTGTATGATAGCAGAATTATCTTTTAAAAAGAACTTATGAAGATATTTTGGTATGAATGCAGACAAGCATTCGAATGCTCTAGCTGCAAAGAGTGTAGTATGCATTAAATATGTAGAAGAAAAATATTGAATATAATATATATTTAATCTTTTACCTTCGTTATTAAAGTTAAGGTACAGAAAAGGAGCTGTTAAAGAATCTAATCCTTGCCAATAAACATAATGAGGATTGTTTCGCACCCATGCTTTTAATAATCTTTGCAATCTTTCATGACCAGCACCAGATGATAATAATTCACTATATTGATGGCATCTTGGTATATCCACTTCTATCTAAGTAATTATTAATGTCCTTTACCACTGCAATGAATAGTGTAACATAATATTCATTCAAATTACCTGTCGATCTGTATGAGTGGGTGTTTCTTTATCAATCATATCGTAACGCTTTTGAATATCACCAGTAATGCCGAGTAATGCAGCCCAAACAGCTCCCCGAACAGGTGGTGGAATGTCTTTATGTGCTTCTTCTATAATTGCTTCTCTAGTAATTGGATAAACCTAAATTACAATGATTCATAAAATTTGTTATAAGTTACTAAAAACGTAAATATTTGTTCTTTATATTAAATTAATTATACATTCGCAGCACTTATTGTACTTGTAGAGAATAAAGTAGAAAATGTTCAAATGATATAAATACCTGAAGCAATCTATTATACAAAATAATTCTATAGAATTGATATTCAGTATCTCTCTCTCTAATAATCAGAGGTAATTGGGAGGTAGCATCTGTTAAATCTTCTTGAGACTGTACACGCATTCTATAACGAAAATTAAGAAAAAATTGACAATTTATGAACGAATAGAAATGGCTATTTTTGCTATACTTACTCATTTGTTAGCCATGGATAATTTGCTATGTATGGAATATGAGATAATCGTTGCCTAAGTGTATCGAGAGGAACTTTGATGACACGTAAATCAAGTAAGCTAGCAGTGTCTCTGTGTCCAAACATTTGACCCAAAAGTATAACTAGACTAAAAAGAATAGTTAATTAATCATTTTTCGTATAATATATGTTCTTTGGAATATATTTACAAAATTTTTGTGAGTACTTTGGAATAGATAAGATAGGTGGCCTTGATCTAATAAGTCCTTGCTTTTTGAGTTCTACTGTAATGTCGCCACCTGCCAGTTGCCATAAATAATACAATTCATCCATTTTTCGAACAATAACATTTTTGTAAAGATTTTCTTGCTTCTCCTTTTCATCCTTTATTAAAAATTCTTCAAATATTGGCAATTTTAACAATTCCTCAGGTATTTTACGTTTTGAGGGATGAATTTGAAGGCAAGAATCTATAAATTCCTTCACTTTGACAGGTAACTCCTGCGATAATGAGTTAGAAATATGTTATAAGAATAAAAAATTGTAACAAAGTACTAGCAAAAATAACAACCATATAATTGTTGTAGCAATTATTTTCTCTTGCCAGACGTTCAAATACAGAAGTTTCACAGTGTATCAAACTAAGAACTTTCCTCAAGCATTGAGATAATTTCACACCTGGCCATATTGGTCCCTTTAATAATAACTCTGCAATAATCATACCCAAAGACCAAGAATCTACTTTCAAACTACTAATGCCTGAACTTAAAAAGACTTCAGGTGCAGTATACTTTGGATGACTAGAAAAAAAAAAGAAATTACATTTGATGTATATTATTTAAATGTAAATTATATTTAAAGTAAATACCCTATAGGAAAAGAAACATGTTTTCCACAGTCCGTCATATAATATAAACCATAATTATACAACTGTACGTGTCCACTTTTATTGATGAGTATGTTTTCAGGACTTAAATGTCTATGTACTAAACCTAATGTATTCATGTACTGTAAACCCAATAAGCATTGGAATGCTATTTTCATAATATCATCTGTATTTAAATTTTCCTTATAGCTTAATGGATCTCCATTGTATTCTGTCACTACAACTATCCTTTCTATAAAATAAATTAAATTACATCATATTAATATACCTTATCGAATTTCATAAAATTTAATTCCAATGTATAATTTATAAATGTAATTACCATGTTTACTCCTTATTATATCAAGATAAGTTGATAAATTTGGATGATGAATAATTTTCAAGAACTGAGATTTCCCGTATATAGTTATCGAATTTGGTGTAAGAGGTAAACCATTACTACCGCATACTTCAATCGGGTGGCTCTGTGCAAAAAATGTCATTCCGCCAAAACAGCGTTCCTCATTTTCTAAGAGTGCTGGACACATTTCTAATTTTAAAGTAAACACCAATATTAGAAAATAATACGAATGAAATAGTGACTTGTTAATTTGATAAATTTGCAAACATAAAGCTTTTAAAGATTTTAATACAAAGAAATCTTCTTAAGTTACGTTAAAAATCGAAAAAAGAAAATACAAATCATATATACTTACTCAATTTGTTAATATATACACATATGTATCTATGATTTCAAAACATAGATGGGTAAAAATTATTTCTCCCTCCCATTAACCTCGATGTTGTGTATATGATAACTACTAACTGTCATAGAGAGATACATACACCCTAAATTTTATTAGGCTCACAATTCCTCATAATTAAATTTATTTATTTATTTATGTTTTCCTTATAACAATAAATCTCATAGCATTCGCTACTAGAATAATTTGACAGCTCTCTGTTTATGTCATGAAACAAGATCTCAAATTACTTGACCAGATATGAAAGTCGAGTGCGCAGGGAATCCAGCACAGTGGCGTGGTGCGTCTACTGGGTGAACATCGTAATTCTGAATCCACGCCGCTGTGCGGAATTTTCTGCTTATGCGTTGCCTTGCGTAGTTGATTTTCTTGATTGTACATACTGGCCATGATCCAAGCAGTGTTGCCAGAGAATTGATGATGCGAGGGGAATCTCTTTGCCCTCCCCTTTTCCTGTGGCATAGGATATTGTCCACGCAATCGTTGACAAATTGAAGTTGAAGTAATAGAGGGGATACGTAGCAATAGCAGCACTACTAGATCATCACGGATGATACGTAGATCAGCTTTTTGACCATTACGCATCTTCACCACTTCGGTATCCTCGTATTCAAAACTCTCTGTCTCTCTGCTTATGGACCATTGAGGGAGATGCGACGACTGGAGAGTCCCAAGCGCCATCAATTCCCTGGCATCACTGGGCCCAAGTCAACTCAAAACTATTTAACTTCCGTAATGTAGCTGTAAAGTACACTACTTTATAACCATAGTCCCGTGATACCCTTGTTCCCTTATGCCATGCCGTCACACAAGGCACCGTTCTTCAAGTCCATATACTGCAGCACAGAAATTTCGTTTCTACCTTACAGAATAGCCCCTAAAAACACAATGTAGAATGTTGCCGCGTGAGTTAAAAGAAACTGAAATGATGTTAAATTTATATTTTCATACATATTTTATTTAAACAGCAACGATTTAAATATTGTCAAAAAACCTTTAGAAAATATCTATTATTTCAAATAATATAATTTATTTTTACGAGATTACATATAATCGAACAAATTTAAACAGAAATGAAGAGAATAATAAAGAAGACGAAAACATAATAGCTTAAAATTGAACCTACATATTGCAAAAGTATAAAGCACACAATTAAATTCTAATAAGATTCAATAAACCAAGGATAATAACAGATTTTAGAAAGAAGTAAGAAAGTAGAAAAAAAGTCAGAGAACATATACATATACATATACATATGTCTATATTACAACCGAGGAGGTCTATATTACAACCGAGGAGGTCTATATTACCGATTGCCCAAGTCACGCGAGAAGGTTGTTGCTTTAGAGACCTGAAAGGGAGTCAGAACGAAGTCGGCATTGCCTTTGACTTTCTTTCTTACGAATATGCCGAATAATTATTGCGGACTAAAAGTGTGAATCAGAGAAAAAACCTCCGATTCACGAGGGACCAAAACAGTGTAAAAGACTCTAATTCTTTTAGAGTTAGAAATATGATTAATATCACCACTGACTCCTCGTCACGATCGAGAAAAATTGACATATTTACTTTTCGGTACCAAATGTTTATACAAATTTCTTCTATTAGCTGTGTTGTTCAGCACTCCCTCGGCTATTTAGCCATTTAATTTGTTAACAAAAATAACTAACGGAATTCGGGATACCGAGTTTCTGTTAAAGCATGAACATGTCGATGAATTGTTACTTCTCGTTTGTTTTAGGATCTGATGTTTAAACAAGAATAAGTAACCGAATCCGGGATACAGAGAAACGTTTGAAGCCCGCAGCTGCAGCTTTCGATGTCTGGATCTGCTTGCAAAACTAACTCGTTTCCTTATATGTGTCTCGTGCAACTAATAAATGAAACAAACATATGAAACAATCTGCTCGTTATCCTATCGTTGTGCCATGAGCGAGATCAGAAGCGAGCGGAAAATCTGTCTAGGTTATTGCGAAGTGCAAACACTGAAGCAATCTTTTGTGCACACCTATATACGTTGTCCTACGTATATATGTACAGAGAACATATGTATAAAACGTGTATAGGAGATATACGTTAAAAGACATTACTAAGTGAGTTAACTTTCGAGAACGAGCGTGAAAGGTGTCAACGAAAGGAGGTCTCGCTACGCGATCGACATGGATACATCATTTTGTGCACCGTCGAAGTATAAAGGTTCGAGGTCTATTATATCATGTCACGTAATATTAAGTATCATAATTGCCACAGTCATTAAATTCGCTGTTATCTTGCTGTCGAGCATCGATATATCTTATGATCTCTGTGGTTCCACCGAAGATACGCCTAGTTATGGACCAAATAAATTCTGTCAGATACGCACGATATCATACCGCGAAATGCATCGAAAATTCTAATTACTCGTTTAAGAGTCTCCTTACTTCGTTGCTTTGATCATAAGACAATTTTGAGGAATTTTTTGAAGGGAGGGCATTGAGTATTGTACCTTCAAATTTGGCACACTTTATTAACTAACGTTTGAAAAATGTACACAAATTTTTTTAGGCAATAACAATAATATATGTCAAACTTGCCGCAGCAGAAGTAAACGCGCTTGAAAGAAGTTTATTGCTGGCAAACATGATTCTAATTGTTCAGGTCTAAAAATTACAAAGTATTAAAAAGCTATAAAATATTTCTTAATCTATTGGGTTAGCCACTTTCGTTTTTCTTTTTAGCATAGTGATATGCTATCGTATAAATTGAAAAATACGAAAATTAATAATTAATAATAATTTTTATTAATAATAATAAAATATAGTAATAATAGAGGCTAAAATAATATTTTCAGAGTATAAAAGTGTTCAGGGAAATCGCCTGCATTTGTTATTGTTGCCAGTATAGAGAAAATTGAATATTTGTTACAGCTACAGGTAATGCTTGCTAAGTTAGTGATTAAAAAATATTCTTAGAATACATAAACATTTAGGAAATTCTTTTACATCTATCATGCAGAGAAAGTTTATTTACAGTTGAAAATAAGTAGAACAAATTATTCTTGTTTCTTTCGACGTAAGGTACAATTAGAAACTAGGTACAATAAACATTAGAATTATCATCCGTAGGTAATTGCGGCGAACAGCTTGCGCGTTTTGCCATTGCTCGGATTGGCGCTATCCGAGCTGTTTGAAGGCAACAGAAAATTCGTACCAAAATTTACATTGCTCCTTATGGAAGAATCGGCACGAATCATTTATTCGAATACTCAATATTTAATGATAAAACGTAAAATCCTTTATAAATAATTCTTTCTAATTCGAATGTGTAGAAAGTTATAAGTAGAGTGCTAGAGATTTATTCTGAGCTTCCAGTAATAAAAATTCACACATTATGTCCGCGATGTAACAAAATTAAAATTTAAAGAAGAACTCTATTACTCATCTAGGGACTGATTCGTGTCGAATTTAACATTGTATCTTGCGGCGATAGCGGTAAGAATCGTCTGTCCTCCATATTTGCAATATCAAATAAATTTTTTTGCATAATATAGTTGCAAGAGAGTTTTCTAAACATTTCCTGTCTCTTATACACATCTATAAAATTTTTTGCATAATATAGTTGCAAGAGAGTTTTCTAAACATTTCCTGTCTCTTATACACATCTATAAAATTTTTTGCATAATATAGTTGCAAGAGAGTTTTCTAAACATTTCCTGTCTCTTATACACATCTATAAAATTTTTTGCATAATATAGTTGCAAGAGAGTTTTCTAAACATTTCCTGTCTCTTATACACATCTATAAAATTTTTTGCATAATATAGTTGCAAGAGAGTTTTCTAAACATTTCCTGTCTCTTATACACATCTATAAAATTTTTTGCATAATATAGTTGCAAGAGAGTTTTCTAAACATTTCCTGTCTCTTATACACATCTATAAAATTTTTTGCATAATATAGTTGCAAGAGAGTTTTCTAAACATTTCCTGTCTCTTATACACATCTATAAAATTTTTTGCATAATATAGTTGCAAGAGAGTTTTCTAAACATTTCCTGTCTCTTATACACATCTATAAAATTTTTTGCATAATATAGTTGCAAGAGAGTTTTCTAAACATTTCCTGTCTCTTATACACATCTATAAAATTTTTTGCATAATATAGTTGCAAGAGAGTTTTCTAAACATTTCTGTCTCCTCAGAATATTTTTTACAGTTTTGAATACACTCCTATTTTCTTCTTTATTACTATTTCTTATTGGAAATGGAAACGGGTTCAAGTCTAGGCAAAATTGTTTAACGTTTCGTAATGTATAATTTTTAATTCTTTGATTTTACTTTCGAGACTTCTCTCAGTAAACTATGTTACGAACAATAGACTATGCTATGGTTCAGCTTAATCGTTGTACCATGAGCGAGATCAAAAGCGAGCGGAAAATCTGTCTAGGTTATTGCGAAGTGCACATTTGCAATACTAAATAAAATTTTTTGCATAATATAGTTGCAAGAGAGTTTTCTAAACATTTCTGTCTCCTCAGAATATTTGTTACTGTTTTAAATACACTCCTATTTTCTTCTTTATTATTATTTCTTATTAGAAATAGAAACGGATTCAAGTGTGGAAAAAATTGTTTAACGTTTCGTAAAGTATAATTATTAATTCTTTGATTTTACTTTCGAGACTTCTCGCAGTGAACTATGTTACGAACAATAGACTATGCTATGGTACAGCTTAAGTTTTCTCAACGACTTTTAAATATCAGTCGTTTCAGATGAAGCAATATAAGATAAAAGTATTCCAGGATTGTATTGTGCTATCTTATATCAAGAGTAGCAGAAGATTCGATATTATACTCTTGCGCAATATTATTGTTATTCTTGCATTTTTTCCAAGCGACCCTTGACATTCAAATGGTCAGACGAAGCAAAATAGGCTTGCCGTTTAACCTGTTATATTTGAATCAAAACCGATTAGCAGAGGGAATACAATTATAGTTTCATTGAATAATAGCACTTTATTGTACTTCGGTCTGTGTGTTGTCACCCGATGTGCGAACATTAGTATTCAGAAGAGTAGCTCCGTCTCTCGTGTGTCGGTTAGTTACGGGAAATTATTCGAATGGTATAACCAAAAGTGATTTTATAATTTAATTAGTAGCTGTGTTTTTTTTTACTCAAATTTTACTCAAACATATTATTGCCTCGTATCAGCTATATCGTGCGAAAACATATTCGAAGAAAATAAGCGATGGATCGTGAAAGTAGAAGCTTCGAGCTTTAGAATGATCATGCTAAAGCATTCTTGTACGATCTTGTTTACAAAATTATAACATTTCGCGAATCTCTAGTGAACAGACTAATTGCCAGAAGAATACCGGTCGTCATTTTTAAAGCGAATTTTTACTAAATTAAATATAATATATAATTTGTGCGAATTAATGATATATTTGGTTCAACGTTTACCGCGTTGGCTATACGAACAAAATTGTTATCGACCTAACGAGCAGAAATCCAGCTCTCCCACGATTTCTTGGCGGTAATGGGATGGCGATTGATAAGGAATCGATTTCTGCTGGTCACTGTCTGGCTATCGTATAAATATAAAACCACCACCAGACGAGCATCATCGTCAGTTGTTGTGACACAATTGTCACAGAATCTTTTCCAGGGTTCATAACTAATCTTTGCGCTATAAGAATGGTGCACGTGAATGCCGCGGTAGTCCTGTTGTTGCTTTTCGTGATCGGCCTGTCGGTCGGGCTTGCGGTTAGCGCTACAACCTTCAAAGGAAGCGATGTCCTTGACACAGTACCAATTATCGACGGGTAAGTTGCCCTGTACATTACGTCAGATTGATAAAAATTCGGAATGCGCGCTGATAACAGCTAAATCGCGTTCGAGAACAGGTTAATCGCACGAAAATTTCGATGATCCGTTTGTTACCGTGATCTGGATCACGTGCTTTCACGATTCAGGCATCAACGTTCCAATAGAATCGAAAACACGGTTTCATTCACGACCACGTTAATCCGTTCAGTGTTCGCTAAATAGACAAAAAAATATAGTGAAAGGAATATCCACTTTTCACATTATTTGTATGGTTTCATGTTATAAATTGTACCGTTCGTAATTTGTATAATTATTTCGAAATTATATAATGTTTATGACAGATAACGTTTCTCATTAATACGATAATTTAAATAATGCGGTTCTAGCCCGTACGACGTACGCATTAAACACTTAAAGGATTAACATCGACCGATGCATAAAAGTATCTTTGACCATAAATGTTCTGAATAAGAGCTTAGAGCTAACGGACTAGTGCCGCTTTCCGGTCATTTTTAAGCCACAAATATCAACAGTTTTCTCACATGCGCTATTTTACTATTGCTAGAAGTGAATAGTGTATAAATATGTAATATATAATATGATAGTATATATAAATAATATATTATATAATTATTATATATTATATATATAATAATTATTATTATATTGTATTATACATATATATATAATATTATATATATTATATTATATATATATATATATATATATATATATATATATATATATACATATATATATTTATATAATAATATAAATATATCGGTTAAAGTGGATGAAAGGTGAGTGGCCCGTGGATGTTGACCTTTATACATGCCTGCAATCGTGAATTGATTAATGTTTCGAGCTGAATTGGAGTCAGCTTGTTGTACAGCTGAAGACTGTTAAACCGTCATAGTTTTCGTTGAAATGCGAAATATTGTCCACTGTTCGTTATACTAATAAGATACAACGTAATACAATTGATCGATAAAACACGTAAAGTACAGGAGCTTTCTATGATTTATGACATTTAGTTTAGCAGTCTCGATGTTATCTCAGCTACGTTCCGTTCCATTCGTATTCTTATCGTAATATCGGCTGTATATACAATCGGCTACTGCTATCGTTTGACAAATTAATTGGCTACTCTTTTACAATAAACGATAACATCGAGCAATCGAATCGAGCGATTCCATCACGATAGAAATTAATTACTTTCCCCGATGATAATCGCAAAAGTTAAATCTGAAATAGTCCGACGAAATTGATGCGTTGATTGTCGTGTTCGTAATTGTGGATATATATAATGCCTAAAAACGATCAGATTTTTATCTTACCTAAAGGATTTTCTGTGTTATCAAGTAATTTGACACAAATAGGAAATCAGCAGGTACTTCGCACGTCTCGTTAATCACGTTCCATCGATAAAGCAATTCTCTTCGCCGCTCTGTTGCAGACACAACGACTTACCCTACAATTTATATGCGAAACTGAACAACAGGTTAACGGACTTCAAGTTCGATAATGATCTGACCAACGATAGTAAATGGGGCGGACACGCTTGCAGATCGTGTTTTACGGATCTTCCGCGGTTGAGAGCTGGAAAAGTGGGCGGTCAAGTGAGTAATAAAATATGGCTAGAAATGTGATAAGCTTCAACAGCAAACGCGTGCTCGCAAAGCTCGTTTATTCGGTTCAATTGTTTAACGTTACAATGACCGAACTGCGAAACTTTATGTAAATTTCTGTTCTCGCATATTATCTTATAACAAGCAAAATAAGTGACACGATTCTTTGAGCAACTTTTGAAAAAAAAAACAAAAGAAAAAGTGTTTATTCAAACACTTTTGAATAAATGTGCGTTGATGAAAATTGCTCGATCGATACCTTAAAAATTGAAGGCGATTAAAAGATGAACGATTTGAAAATTCGTAATTAAATAGAAAATTTAAAAAAAACCGTCAAGCGGATATAAAAAGACACAGAAAGAAACTCCAATTTTGTCGTCTATTATAATTCCAAAATTCACGGACCAGAGATTGCCATTGTTATTGAACAATTTTGTTAACACTAAATCTATCAAGTCAGTCATAATAATATGTTGTTGAAATCATAAAAATTGTTTCGTAGGAAATAATTGAATAAATTTCTTAATCCAATCGTTTATTACGATCAGTATGGAGAAATGTCTGAATATATAATATTTTAAATAATATAGATAATAAATATTTTAAATAATATATAATATAAATATTTTCAATAATATAAGAAAATAACAATATTTTCTTGTGATCGTTAAGATTACGAAACAACACGCGTCAGTCACTTTTGGTACTCGTTAAAAATCTTGTAAATCGTCTATCCTCTATTTAGAAAGAACCGTTTATTAAAGATTTAGGTATAATCGCCAGATACCATTGTTTTGCAACAAATAATTCGATAATTGCACGACCTACTCGGAGTGCGTTGCATCGATAGCGCGATGATTGTGACGCATGTTAATTATAGTTCTGGGCTGCGTACGTTTCGTGTAACTCCCACTACAAAGATGCGGTGCAATTGACACTGCGGCAAATCGATGTCATCAAGAGGCTGGTCGAGAAATACCCGAACGACCTGCAATTCGTGACCGAGGCGAAGAACATCGAGGAAGCATGGGGAAATGGAAAGATTGCGTCCATGATCGGCGTCGAAGGTGGTCACTCCATCGACTCCAGTTTGGCGGTTCTTAGACTCTATTACGAGCTCGGTGTTCGTTATCTCACCTTGACACACATATGCAACACACCATGGTAAGTCAAAACGATTGTTAAACGATGGCATGCGATTTTAAAAGTAAGTAGAGATTAACCTTTGACGTTAAACGATTTACAGTAATGTCTCCCAAAAACTGACGCTCAGATTGTGCACAAAAATGGACAATTTGGGAACACGAGATACGATTATACGAGCATTGCGGTTTCTTTTTATAGTTGTTGACAATCGATAATTATAAAAACGAGCCGCAAGGCTCTAATAAGCGTATCTTCTCTTCCAAAATTGTCCATTTTTGTGGACAGTCTGAGCGTCAATTAGAGAGACATTACTGTATCTGGCTTTTGTAAATAACTAACTTCGAACACAAAATTGTTCAGTTAACGCTCTTCAATGACTACAGTAAATTCTCCCCAATTGTCCTTCAGCATACAAATAATAATGGACAATGTAGGAAGAGGAGATACGATTATTCGAGCCTTGCGTCACGTTTTTATAGTTGCCGATTGTCAACAACTATACAAACGAGCCGCACGGCTCGAATAATCGTATCCAATTTTCCCAAGTTCTCCACCTTTGTTTACAAATTGCGGACCTGTACCTTGGAAACAAGCAAGTTCGAAAATTTTAGTCATTACTATCTAAGAGAAATGAACTACCTAATTTTCAAATTAAATAATGATATTGTTATATTTTATCAGGGCGGACGCATCGCCGGTGAAAAATGGTTCTGTCTACAATCTTACGAGCTTTGGAGAAGTGGGTTGAAAATCTTTGTACTTTAACACTCGCATGACGGAGCTCGGGTTCATTTGGACCCTGAGTACAGTATTATTATTCAGTATTATTATTCTATCTAGTTTCTGACAATTAATTTCCATTTTCACATGTTTTAAGGTCTATAGAACAACCAGCGTGTTTAGAATGTTTCCAAATATCCTTCATAAATGACCCTAGGCATATGCAGTTACGTTTTTGTCGATAAGCTCCGCCGTTTGAGTGCTAAGATAATTATATTTTCTAGTTTCTATATAATAAGTACATTGATATGTTTTATAATTTAATGTAGGAAATCGTCTTCGAAATGAACCGCCTCGGAATGCTAGTCGATTTGTCGCACGTATCTCACAACGTTATGAGAAGAGTACTCGAAGTTACAAAAGCACCCATAATGTTCTCTCATTCGTCAGCATTCAGCGTTTGCGAGAATTATCGTAACGTTCCTGACGACGTGCTTCGAAGTGTCGTGAGTCTCCTTCTTAATTGCATTAGCGAATTAATTGTCCCCAATTGTACAAAACTAATACNAAATTGTCCATTTTTGTGGACAGTCTGAGCGTCAATTAGAGAGACATTACTGTATCTGGCTTTTGTAAATAACTAACTTCGAACACAAAATTGTTCAGTTAACGCTCTTCAATGACTACAGTAAATTCTCCCCAATTGTCCTTCAGCATACAAATAATAATGGACAATGTAGGAAGAGGAGATACGATTATTCGAGCCTTGCGTCACGTTTTTATAGTTGCCGATTGTCAACAACTATACAAACGAGCCGCACGGCTCGAATAATCGTATCCAATTTTCCCAAGTTCTCCACCTTTGTTTACAAATTGCGGACCTGTACCTTGGAAACAAGCAAGTTCGAAAATTTTAGTCATTACTATCTAAGAGAAATGAACTACCTAATTTTCAAATTAAATAATGATATTGTTATATTTTATCAGGGCGGACGCATCGCCGGTGAAAAATGGTTCTGTCTACAATCTTACGAGCTTTGGAGAAGTGGGTTGAAAATCTTTGTACTTTAACACTCGCATGACGGAGCTCGGGTTCATTTGGACCCTGAGTACAGTATTATTATTCAGTATTATTATTCTATCTAGTTTCTGACAATTAATTTCCATTTTCACATGTTTTAAGGTCTATAGAACAACCAGCGTGTTTAGAATGTTTCCAAATATCCTTCATAAATGACCCTAGGCATATGCAGTTACGTTTTTGTCGATAAGCTCCGCCGTTTGAGTGCTAAGATAATTATATTTTCTAGTTTCTATATAATAAGTACATTGATATGTTTTATAATTTAATGTAGGAAATCGTCTTCGAAATGAACCGCCTCGGAATGCTAGTCGATTTGTCGCACGTATCTCACAACGTTATGAGAAGAGTACTCGAAGTTACAAAAGCACCCATAATGTTCTCTCATTCGTCAGCATTCAGCGTTTGCGAGAATTATCGTAACGTTCCTGACGACGTGCTTCGAAGTGTCGTGAGTCTCCTTCTTAATTGCATTAGCGAATTAATTGTCCCCAATTGTACAAAACTAATACTCTTTGGTATATTTTCAGAAAGAAAACAACGGCATCGTAATGGTGAACTTTTACTCGGGTTTCGTGAATTGCAACTCGTCGAGAAACGCAACGATGCAAGATGTGATCGGTACGAACGATTGTAATAATTATACTTTATGTAGATTAGAAATTTTAGAGCCTGTTTTTTGGATAAAGGTTTGAACTTTCTTTTCACAGACCACATTAACTACATCCGTAATTTTATCGGACCCGATCACGTCGGCATTGGCGCCGACTATGATGGCGTAAGCACGTGAGTGTTGCATCGAGTAACGAAACGAGTGAAACATTCGCACGAGGAGAGACTAAAATCAGTAAAAATATTTCAGGATGCCTGAAGGCTTGGAGGACGTTTCCAAATACACAAACTTATTCGATCGCCTCTATGAAAGTGACGTGAATCCTCGATGGACCAAAGCGGATCTTGAAAAACTCGCTGGAAAGAATTTGATCCGCGTATTCAAAGGCGTGGAAGCGGTAAATAGAGAAACTTTTACGTATTTACTATCGCAATGACTCCGTGCAGTTAAAATACTGAAGACATTTAATGTAAAGCACAAGGACAAAACGAAATTTTTGGAACATTTTATAACATTCGTGTAAACGCTGCCTCTTTAACAGCTTTAGAAGATTGTACAAATATCCTATAATATATAAATATTATATATATATTACTTATTACAGGTGAGAGATTCGTTAAAGACAATAACGCCTAGGGACGATATCATAGATGGACTGGAGTTATACAAGGCTCAAGCGGATTCGCATTTAAAACCAGGCTTATGTAACACCGCGATCGAGTGAGTACTTTCTCAATTGATAAATTGAGAATCTTTTGATGCGTTCACACTTTTATTTATTAATTCACATAATTTTTTATATAGATGGAAAGGACTTAATGTTTCCTCGAGTGATACCGCAGAATAATTAGACTGTTTGGAATTTATTTAAACAATGTAACATCGTGCAAGGTTTTGCTAACGAAGCGTTTATTATTCTAGTTGTTTACATTGAAATGAGATCCAAGCGTTGTTAATAAAAACAGAGAACACTTAATGTGATCATTGCAAGCTTTAACATCCTTTGCACACATTTATTTGTTCTCACAGTATTTTATCGTGATAATCAATCGATTAATCATCCTCGCATGTGAATACAATCCTTCTTAATGTAGAACATAGTTTCGTAAGATAAGTTTGTTTACAATGTACAATTATTTTTCAATATTCTTATATACATAAAACAACAAAAGAAAAGCAATCTATCAATTTCGTTCGACTCGTTGAAACATAATGGCAAATTCCATGTTTTTGTAAGTCTTTTAAAATGTAAATTATGTTATTGTAAACGGATATACACTTGTGGTAACATCCACGATCAAACGACTTCTCTCGAATTCTGTATCGAATTTATGTATGCGACGATTTTGTTCCTGGAATTCGATTAATAATTACGAAATTTTCTCATTTTATAAATCATAATAATTACGAGATTCTATTTACTACCAACCATTGACTTTTCCTTACGAATGGGTACACTTTGGGCGTCTCGAAGCCATTGAAAGAAGAACAAACGGCAATACTGTATGCACCCATGTCTCCCCAGATCAACCAGTTGCCGATATCCAGTTCGGGTAGCATCACATTCTTTAGTATACAGTCCAGCGCGTCGCATGTCGGTCCCCACAGAAATGAGGAAAATGTTTTTTCACTTGTTGGCTAAAATAATAATGGATTTTTTATATTGGAAGCATCTTCCTGTCGAATATTAGCTCCTCCGCTATCGGTAGCCTAGTAACAAACTCCATAATTACCGTGCTATGCCTGAAGGAAGCTTAATAATTTTAATCATTAGATAGATTCTGACAGATTATATCGCACAGGACAGTTTGTTGCTTTACGAGGGGAATAGCCACAGCACTTGAACAGTTGAAGATATCAAATAATACCAGTACCTTATTCAAAGGAATCGGAACTCTCGCTTTTAATTTCAAGAGCTCTTCTATAAAAGAACTGTAAACACCGCAATTCACGTAGTACGCTCTCATCTCTTTCTCATTCCATGAGATGAGCTTTCTCGAATGCAAGTACGATGCTATGGTAAAAGCTGATGTCACGAAATATCTTCCTGGCTCGCTGATAATCTGAACGCTAGGGTCCAAGTCCTTAATGGCTTCGTTGACCACACTGGCAAGCTAAACACAATATGTTTTATTTATTACTTCCTCCAAAAATATGATTTACGCGATTTCAACATTCCAGATCTAAAAGAACGTAACCGAGAACCTTCAAAATGTGATAATATGTAAATAATATAATAATAAAATTATTATAATATATATATATATATTTTTTTAAGGTTCTCGGTTACGTTCTTTATTACATATTATTTACATATTATATTATTTTATTATTATATTATATATAATATATAATATTTAATATATAATATTTTATTATTATATATATGTGTGTGTGTGTGTAAATAATATAATATGTAAATAAATATGTATTGTATATTCTGAAAAAAGATCAACGGTGCACCTCTACGATATGACTCCAGTAAAATCTTCTACATCCTAGAAAAATAGAACTCATCGGTGCAATAACAAAATTTAACAAGAAAAATCATCGTTTTCAATATGGTTCTTTTAGATATGTGATGACCGTTACTTTATTGACAATCGCATAGCGAGTACCATTTATCAGTACAGTAATCTCTCCCTTACTGACGCTCAGGTTGTGTACAGAAATGGACAATTTGGGAAGAGGAGATACGATTATTCGAACCTCGCGACTCGTTTTTATAGTTGTTGACAATCGATAACCATAAAAACGAGCCACAAGGCTCGAACAATCGTATCTCCTCTTCACAAATTGTCCACTTTTGTGGACAGTCTGAGCGTCAATTAGGGAGACATTACTGTATCTGGCTTTTGTAAATAACTAACTTTGAACACAAAATTGTTCAGTTAACGCTCTTCAATGATTACAGTAAATTCTCCCCAATTGTCCTTCAGCATACAAATAATAATGAACAATGTAGGAAGAGGAGATACGATTATTCGAGCCTTGCGGTTTCTTTTTATAGTTGTTGACAAACGATAATTATGAAAACGAGCCGCAAGGCTCTAATAAGCGTATCTTCTCTTCCAAAATTGTCCATTTTTGTGGACAATCTGAGCGTCAATTAGGGAGACATTACTGTATCTGGCTTTTGTAAATAACTAACTTTGAACATAAAACTGTTCAGTTAACGCTCTTCAATGATTTTCAGTAAATTCTCCCCAATTGTTCTTTAGCATACAAATAATAATTGTATCCAGTCTTCCCAAGTTGTCCATTTTTGTGCACAATCTGAGCATCAATTAGGGAGACATTACTGTAACAAGAAATTGAATGGTCGGATAAGAAAATTATTGCGTAGAAAGATTATAACTTAAACATCGTATAAATTGTTTCTAACGTAAAAATATAGATGCAGAATAATAAGCACAACATAAACTTTTATAAATAGTCCGACACAGAGAACAGAGGTCTTCTTAACACCGGGCTAAAAGGCAATTAAATAGTCTGTTTCGATGAAGAATAAGCAATCTCACGTCGTCGAGTCGGAATCCAGATTCGCCAGGAAATCCTCCGCCAATGTCGATCATCTCGATTTGAACGCCGATCGATTTTGCAACAGCGATCAGCCGTTTGCAGGCCTCGATGCCCCTGCCATAAGCGTCAGCTTCTCCGCAGGGACTTCCCACGTGGAAGCTGATCCCGTGCAAAGTCAAACCGAGATTCTTGGTCAGCCGAATCAAGCGGGTGGCTTCCTCGCCCGGGTCACAGCCAAATTTCATTCCCAAGCACACGTCCGAGTTCTTGGCGTCGCATCGGATTCGAATCACTATTCTGGGAGCAAAAGAGGAAATAGAATACGCAGAAAAATCGGTGACGCGTAACCGACCTCGCTTCCGGGAATATTTCTTTTATCTTCAGAAGCTCGTCCTCGCTGTCAACGGTCAATCTATCGACATTCACTTGCTTCGAGAATCTTATGTGAGAGGGTACCTTCGTTGGATTCGCAAAGATGATCCGACTCGACGGTATCCCGAGCACGATCAAATCCTTTATCTCTTTCTGTTTTGGACAATTGAACATTTTGATCGTTCACAATACAGCAAATTCACCCTGATCGACGCTCAAATTGTACACACAAAAACGGACAATTTTGGAAGAGCAGTTATGATCATGCGAGCGTTGCGGCTCGTTATAGTTCGTAGTTGTTGACAATCGATGACTATAAAAACGAGCCGCAAGGCTCGAATAATCGTATCACCTCTTTCCAAATTGTCCATTTTTGTGTAATAATCTGAGAGTCAATTGAGGAGAATTTACTGCATCGGTTTGAGGTGATAAAGACTTTTTGGTACCTCGGAAGCGCAATCGAAGCCTGCGTTCAGGCTCGCCAGAGCCTTAATTACCGTCGGATCCGGGTTGCATTTCATGGCTGCAATCGAATCAGAAGTTTAAAGCTTCTTCGGATTTGTCGACCGAATAACATTTTCTTTGCATAAAAAATGTATAGAAAGTTAACATACTCCGAAAGTCAGCTATAAATACCTAGCTAAGTGTTTAGAGATTCTAGATTCTAGGATTTACAGATTCTATAGACACTTTCCACATCCATGGCAGCGTTTTAAATTACGTGGTAAATTACCATCGAGACTTAAGCAATTAATGGATGACTAAAAATTTTCTACGTGAATTGTAAAAAGTAAGAGTTATGGAAGTTTATTTTTGCTCTTAACTTATTGAAAAGAATGCAGAACTATTCTCAAAGTTTTCTTATTTATTTACTGTACAAATAACGACGATATCTAACAATAAGACCTATGCTAAAATGCATTACACTTACGTGCATTGTTCGGATGCATTAAATATAAATAGAACAAAATAATTATTGCATAATAAATATATATAAAAAAAAATCAACAATTATGATTATAAAGTATATATGCACCGTAATATGGAATGACTCGTGGTATTTTCTCAGTCCAGTCTTTATATTTTTGCACCACATCAGCAATGTCCAGGATATAAAATGGTTTATCATCGTTCGTCGTCTTGATTATGGTTCTTATTATGTCAACATCGTCCAGCGTGTCTTCAATTAATTTCACGTCATCCACAGTCAAACGATACATACCGATTGATTTAAACTGAGCAGAAACGCGATCCTCATAAACTGTGCAACACTAAAAATAACAAATAGACTCGGGTCTATCAGAAATGTCTACAATAAGATCATCTCGTTATACGTATAGTCTGAGTTCGCAAATTTGTTTTATGATAACGTGTTTTCACTGAAAAAAAAATAGATCAACGAATTATGACACACTTAGCTATTATTTCTGATAATACACTGTATCATTGCTCCAGTGATATGAAGAAAATAATAAATTTTTAATAATAGATAGTTAGTTGCAATATATTAACGATTATAGAACAAATGAAACGAGTTCCAAATTACTTTTATATAATTATGGAACATTTAAATTACCTCTTGACAATAAATACAATTCGAATCGATACGCGGCGTTAGATAGTGGCGGTTATATACGCTTTGTTGCATCGTTTTATCAGCTGATGTAACAAACAATGATGTATGGCTGTTACTCGCTAAACACCCATGTTTGCCATGTTTATTCCATAATGCAGGTTTTAACAACAATAATTCGTAAACGATAACTCGCGAAACGTTTATTGTGCACGAGATTACCTTGACTGATATCGTAATTAGCTGACTCACATATAATAAATACGTATATTGTATATTAAATAGAAAATGTTGGTTTTATAATTGTTGTTTTTGTATCGTTTAAAACAATAAGGAAGTCCATTATAGTAAACGAAAATAGTTCGAATACCACGATGAAACTATTCCTGTGGTAATACCTTTAGACACACTTCTCTCGTAATAATAATCAAATCTAGAATGTTATTCAATAATCTACCTATATCCCTAGTAACAATCTACCCCATCCAATAATTCAATAAATAAGGGACTTTATTTATTATAGCTGAATTTATTAATAAGACAGACGTAATCTGAATTTATATATATCAAAGAGAAAGTAGATACTTCTGCAATTCAATGTAGTTCACAATAAATCTGTGTAATTTAGTAATAAAAATTATAATTTGAAAACAATAGGCTATCTGCTTGACAATTATGCAATGTGGTTGCTCTCATTCAGGGGCACACCTACGAGAAATTTTTCAAATGTATATATATATATACATTTTCTGAACTATCCCGATAAAGAGATAATTTATTTAATCTATAGTTTACGATCTAGTTTATAATCTAAAAGTGCGATTTCTAATTTACTGAACTGTGCTAATGGGACGTATAATCGTATTCCGTTACTTATTTCAGTTAATGGCAATCCAATTTTAAATTTAACTGTTTTCATTTTCTTTTTGTCGAAGTTTATATTATAAATGGAAGCGATATGTTTTATATCAGAGATCTGGTTTTATTATTAACATCGAATTCTTCTTAACCCACCGAAAATTTGAAAATCACAGTGGTTCACTAATAGCACGCACATAGTAACGTGGCGCTGGCATCTAATCAACCTGAATCCACGGCTTAGGAAATACATACATGTACATGCATGCATGCTTTCCTATGTTCGTGCCTGAATGAACTGCTTGAGCTTCGGCTTTAGCGTGTTTATTATACGTATGTATGTATCACGGACAAGTTTGTGTGAGTCCGTAAGTTTATATAGTGTAACTGGGATCTATTTTTCTCTCCCCTTTGGCAAGTCAAAAAAAGACAAAAAGCAGAAGGAATACCAAGGATGTACTGACGTCTAAAACTTTTCGAAAGCTTGTTGGGAGGAACTGTGTTTACATTTAAAACGAAAATAGGTGAATAAATGAATACAATTGTTTTAAAAGACATTGGAAGATTACGAGGTTATCGCTAAAAGAAACTCTTTATCCGGCATGACGTATATCTTGTGAATCACACATTATCACAGATGATTTACAGAATAGACTGGATGTGTAATGTAATTTTTAGCAATTGCCAATTATATTCTTAAAGTGTAATTTTAGTGTCGCGTCCAACGTTACCGACAAACATGAAATTTCAGTTTGGAAGCTACTTCTCACCGGTCTGTTCGCCTAATTGCACGAACCATGGTACATACATATGTAATTTCATTTGCAAAAAAATACACGAAATCAAGTGAGAAACCGTAATGAAATCTATACTTCTGAGTTAGCAATATTTACCAGTATAATTGTTATATATTTATAGATACAAATTCATATTTCGGAATTAAGCTGAAAACATAGTGTGTACTTGTCTTTTTAGACAGTATTATACAGGGTGTCCCGTAGCATGTACGATCCACTTCAGGAATGGATTTCTACACATGAAAACAATAAAAAAAAAGTTGATATAAACACATATCCTATTCGACCTTGTTTTTAAATTATGGCGATTTTCTTCACAACAAATGTTCGAAAAGAGCCCCTTGCAACACAAGTCTGGAGATGTTTTATCATTCATTGTCTCACTTTTTCCACATTTCTCTAGGAATTATTCGAATTTTATGGAAGCCTTGTACTAATCTCTATTTGTAAACAGTAAGATAAACAGTTTATTCATTAACATTTTTCGAAATAATTATATCAACATACAACTTATCATAACTCAAAAACAAGGTCGAATAGGACGTATGTTTATATGAACTTTTTATATAATTTTCATGTGTACAATCTATTCCTGAAATAGATCCCACATGTTACGGGACACCCTGTATATTAGTTGTAGATAAGCACTATAGCCTATTCAACAAGAATAAACTTATACAAAGTATATTTCTTTAAATAAATAATAAAACAACATTGTTAAATAATAAAGTTCGCACATCGTTAGTTTATACGTAAGAATAAAAATTAAATTAATTATTAAATTCCTGAAAATATGATGTGAATTGTATCGATTTTTTAAACATAGCACAAATTTTGGCATGCTCAGAATTGTAAGATATTAAAAGAAAGTACATACATACATATATATGTAAATTTTACATTATACCGCTAGTTCACTGTAAAAGTAACGACCATCAGATGGCGCAGTAATTTGAACATTACTTGATGCACAGGAGTTCCCAAGCTCTGGTGTGATCGGCAGCAAAATGGCAGCGAGCGACTCTCACGCGGACGACAGCCTTTATCCGATTGCTGTTTTGATTGACGAACTAAAAAACGAAGATGTACAGGTAATTCAAAATGTGCTAAAACTCAGTTTTACGCGGTTGCAAAATAATCGGCTTGTTGAAGCACATAAAACTACTGGAGAAGATACAGTGTCAAGGCGGCTGGAGCGGTGGCGTACTATTGAACAAAATATTCGTTTGTCTCCTGTCAGTTTACTAAAAATGTTCTGTTTCACATATTAATACATCTAACGTTTTTATCCGACTGGACGTATAACAATTATCTCGTTGCAATCTCGACGCATACAAAACTTCCGGCTAGAAACATACATTATACTGCTAGGAAGGATAAAAGCATTCATGATGCTAATTACATTAATTCCATAATAGTACTTTCACAGAATTTTTTGTTACAGTTACGGCTGAACTCAATAAAAAAATTATCCACTATTGCTCTTGCTTTAGGCGTTGAACGAACACGTAGTGAATTAATACCGTTTTTAACGGAGTCTATGTACGACGAAGATGAAGTTTTACTAGCATTGGCAGAACAACTTGGACAATTCACACCTCTTGTGGGAGGTCCAGAATATGTTCACTGCTTATTGGTAATAATATCATTTAGGATAGTAAATATTAGTAATAATATCATAAGGATATCGTTTGACATTCTATAGTATACTTATATAGTATATTTATAATACTCGTAATACTTTTATTTGTAGTAAGATTTTTAATTAAATGATTATTTTATGTATACTAAAATAATTTTTCATATTTTTATGATAGTACAAAATAAGTTTGCTTTTCGCAGCAATAGATCAAGTATCTCGGTTATTTTATATTAATTTATTTGAGATGATATCTTTATAAATATATGAAACATTAAAAATTAATGATGAGAAATATACTTGCTATGAAAGTCTAAATTCTATATATATTTCTACTGTAGAGATGAAATTTGTATATTAAAAATAGGTATTCTTTAATTTAGAAACCATTAGAGTCTTTGGCCACAGTTGAGGAAACAGTAGTACGAGACAAAGCAGTGGAATCTTTGAGAACAATTGCTGCTCAACACAGTCCACAAGATTTGGAAGAGCAGTTTGTTCCCTTGATTGATCGGTTAGCAGGAGGAGATTGGTTTACCTCAAGAACTTCGGCATGTGGCCTATTCAGTGTCTGTTATCCACGAGTTAGTCCATCGGTTAAAGGTAGAAAATAATTTCATTTTCAAAATATAGAAATATGTGAAATCAATTTATACATTTGTATTCTTATCCACATATAGCATGTCTACGAAGTCATTTTCGTAAATTGTGCCAAGATGACACGCCAATGGCACGTCGGTCTGCTGCTTCAAACTTAGGAGAATTTGCAAAAGTTATGGAAATTGAATATGTGAAAGCAGATTTAATTCCTATGTTCGTTATTCTAGCACAAGATGAACAAGTAAGGCAATATAAACACTATTTCTGGCATTACTGTAATAATCAAGTTTATAGAATTTACATAAATTTTTAATTCTGCAGGACTCTGTACGCCTCTTAGCTGTTGAAGCTTGTGTCAGCATTGCAGCTTTGTTACCACAAGAGGATGTAGAACAATTAATCATGACCACACTTCGGCAATGTACAGCTGATCAATCATGGCGTGTACGCTACATGGTGGCAGATAAATTTACTGATGTAGGTATTCTTAACATATAATATTCTTAACATCGCATCACTCTTTTTACGAGTAATTGACTTCTTAATTTCGATTTATTATATCTTAGCTACAAAAAGCTGTTGGTCCAGAAATTACAAAAGTAGATCTTGTACCAGCATTTCAAGTACTGTTAAAAGATATAGAAGCTGAAGTAAGAGCCGCTGCAGCAGATAAAGTTCGTGATTTTTGTCAAAATCTTGACAAATTCAATCAAGAATCTATAATTATGACAAATATATTACCTATAGTTAAGGAACTCGTATCAGACCCTAATCAACATGTGAAATCAGCTTTAGCAAGTGTTATAATGGGCCTCAGTCCAATACTTGGGAAACATAAGTATGTTAACATTTATTATATAAATATGGAAGCATAATATAATTTATTACATAATAATATTAAAATTTTCAAAATTTACAGCACGATCGAACATCTTTTACCTTTATTCTTGTCACAACTTAGAGATGAATGTTCAGAAGTACGACTCAACATTATCAGTAATTTAGAATGCGTTAATGAAGTTATTGGCATACAACAGCTTTCACAGTCGCTTTTGCCAGCTATTGTGGAGTTAGCTGAGGATTCAAAATGGCGAGTAAGATTAGCCATTATAGAGTACGTATTTCTCATAGTATGTTTTCTTTCTAGTCTAGTTATCCAAAATATTAAATATAAACATGATTTAGGTACATGCCATTATTAGCTGGACAGCTTGGAGTTGAATTCTTTGACGAGAAATTAAATTCTTTATGCATGACATGGTTGGTAGATCACGTGTACGCTATTAGAGAAGCAGCTACATTAAATTTGAAAAAGTTGGTAGAAAAATTCGGCCCGGAATGGGCACAAAATACAGTAATACCAAAAGTTCTAGCAATGTCGAGAGATCAAAATTACCTTCACAGAATGACGTGTCTGTTTTGTATCAACGTGAGTAACAATATAAAAACGTGATGTATTACTTGTTTTTGTTATCCTTGCTCTTATCTTTGACTTAATTGGTTACAGGTATTGGCTGAAGTGTGTGGTCCAGAAATTACAACAAAGGTAATGCTTCCAACTGTGTTAGCAATGGCCACCGACAACGTTGCCAATGTACGATTTAATGTTGCAAAAACTCTCCAAAAGATTGGACCTTTTCTTGAGCCTTGTGCAGTGCAAGGTCAAGTAAAGCCTGTACTTGATAAGCTCAATACTGACAGCGATGTCGATGTGAAATACTTTGCTTCAGAAGCAATTGCAGGCATCGCAGGTGAAGTATTTAATTCTAAAAGTAAACTATAAAGCTATAACTATATTATATAAAATGAGAGAAATGCAGCGTATTCTATTGTCTCAAATACATATGTCTAATCCACTTTATCATTTTTATTTTTATTCTATTTTGGAACAGAAGACTACGATTTTAATCTTGGTAAATATTTTCACTGAATATTTGTTATACAATACGTACTATGTTTCAGCGTAGGTTGAGCAAGAAAAGAATTGCATTTAAATTTTATCCATCAGTATCCAACTTCGACCTGAAGAAGTAACCTGCCGCAATATTTACACTTACACATGGCAACAGGTAACATTATTGCACAGTCAGAGCAGATCTAATGTCGAGAAATATAAACTTCAAATTAGTAGTTCATATTAAGCGATATTTTAAGTTCTGTTATATCTGTATATCTATTATTATATTACTTATTAAATATTCAATTTAATTGGTAAAATGTATTTCTTACACTTACCTAAATAATTATCGAAAAAATAATATAACATACCTCGAAATCATTCCTAAAAAAATCAGACGCCTCATTATAATCTGCTCTTCCGCATATACTGGTAAAAAATTTTCTTTCATCTTTTATCAATGTTTTATTAAGCAGTATTTTAATTTGATATGTATACGTAATATTGTTAAGTATTGTCTTTATAAACAGAATAATAAATTAATAATAATCAATG